CATTAGCAATATGACCAATTTTTCCATATCACATTATTTATGAATATTGATTTATGAAACTAATGGCTAACCTCTCTTTTGATTGTGATCTTAGCAGCTTAAGCTTATAATTAATAAATCAATTGACTAAATGATTTCAAAACCTTGTTTTACAATGTCTTTTTGATTTAACAAAAAGGGGGAGAAGAATAAGTGTTAAATGTTTTACATGATAAAATAAGTGTTAAATGTTTTACATGATAAATTGAAGGAAGTGTTAAAGTAAGGGGGAGTAATTTCAAAACTTGATTTCAAAAATCTTAAAATTATTAAAATGTTTTGTTATATCAAAAAGGGGGAGATTGTTGAAACATTTTGATATTTCGATATAACAAATTAAGTTAAATGGATTTTAAGATTTTCCAAATGATTTTCTAAGTATATTCGATATAACTATTCGAATATCAAAACATTACTCCAAATATTTCAAAAATCATTTTAATCCTTACTTAAGTGTAAAATTAAGTTTTAATCATAAAACAATTTCAAAATAATTTTACAAAGTATTTCGAACCAATTCAAAGCCAAAAATTCCAGATTGCTCAGAGGGAACCGATTCCCCCCCATAGGAGGAACCGATTCCCCCTGAATAGTTTTGCTCCGAGAATTCCAGTATGCTCGGAGGGAACCGATTCCCCCCAAGGGGGTACCGATTCCCCCCTTGTACAACGGTCGAAATATTTGAATTTTACACTTAGGGAACCGATTCCCTATGAGAGGGAACCGATTCCCCCACGCTCCAAGCTGTTTTATTAAATGTTTTCACACTAAAACGGCTATAATATCTTCTCTAATCATCCCCAATGTTCAGAAGTGATCCAAGGTGTATTTAAGCAAGCTTAGAAGCCATTGATCAACAACAAGAAAAATCAAGCAACTAGAATCAAGAGAGAATCAAAGAGAAAGCATCAAACCTCAAGTTTGAGCATTTCAAGCCTATTTTCATTCAATATTCATTTTGCTTTCAAGAACACTTTTTGTGCTCAATTGTATTCATCTTTGAGTGTTCTTTTCTTTGTTCTAGAATTGTGCAAACATCTTACCTTGTGAGGTTTTCTTGTAAGTTTGCAAATTTGTAATCTTCTCTTTGAGAAAAGAGTGTTCTCAAGAGTTGGGGTATACTCTTGAGGGAATTGTAAGGTTATCTCTTTGGCCTCAAAAGAAAGAACAAATTAGTGAATTTGTTGGAAAATCCTTAGTGTGGATAGCTAAGGTAGTGGACGTAGACTTTGTTTGAGAAAGTCGAACCACTGTAAATCGCTGTGCAATTACTTTCAATTTTCTGCAAAAACTTCCACAAAATTTTTATTGCCAATTCACCCCCCTCTTGGCCAATTTCGTCATTCGATTAACTCAACAGTTTATTTACCACAGTTTGAAGACCACCAGGCACGTGTCAATGATCATTATAACCCTTTCGAAAAAAGAATTGAATACATCCTCTGTCGGGTAAGTTCCAGTACTTGTTTCTCTTTAAAAAAGAAGTGAAGGTCAATTGTGTTCTCTTTGTTAGTCATACTTGTTTTTTAATTACATTTTTATGAATGTTGGAAACTAAAGAATATATGCATATGGAAGGTTTTATGCTTCTAATGATTCTGGTTTGATGTTTTATTTGACATGATTCATGAATAACTTCCTCATTCAGGTACCAGCCTCCATTACCAGCTGATCAGGTGAAGGCATCCATAGAAATCGATCACGAAGGAGGTAGGATGCATTTCATTACTCGCAGTCCGCACATCCATTTGTTTTTGGCGATGTTGAATGACTATATTTGGTTTTTATAATTTCTTTTTGTTTGGCAGAGGGCTCTCCGAATGGCCTGGGTAGGGGCGGTGGCAGTAGAGGAAGGCCAAGGAGTAGAGGTACTGCCAATTTTGATTATTGATATGCATCCTGTTAGATGTTATTTTTTAGAGAAAATAACCTCAGTGATCAAAAATGCTCTATAATATACGATTTTAACCAACATTTTTTGGATTTGCCAAAATGATCAACTAAATCGCAATGCGATCGATAATTCGCAACGCGATCTCCGGTATCGTAAATCAGTTTCCAGATTCGCAACGCGAACATCGACTATCGCAACGCAAACTTCGACTATCGCAATGCGATTTTTCAAATTCGTTGCGATAGTCCAAGTTCGCGTTGCGATTTATTCCAAATTCGTTGCGATAGTTCAAGTTCGCGTTGCGATAATCCAAGTTCGCGTTGCGATAGTCCAAGTTCGTTGCGACAGTCGAAGTTCGCATTGCGATTTATTCCAAATTCGTTGCGATAGCCCAAGTTCGCGTTGCGATTTATTCCAAATTCGTTGCGATAGTCGAAGTTCGCGTTGCGATTTATTCCAAGTTCGTTGCGATAGTTGAAGTTTGCGTTGCGATTTATTCAAAATTCGTTGCGATAGTCCAAAATCGCAACGACTGGTGGTATTGCATTTGTTTCTTAAGAATTTTCTCTAAAAAGATAGTATTCGCGCGGACGTGTCGAAGACACGTATTACCACGACCACGACCCGAGACGGACGGCGGCGGCGGCGGCGCGCGAGAGTCCCCCTTGTCCTCTATCACTCAACAAGGAAGTGGGAAAGTCAAACATTAAATAACATTCTCAATAGTGTTTCCAATACTATGTGGGATTGAGCATTACCAACACTTGTTCCCAATACTATGTGGGATTGAGCCTTAAATAGTGAAATTATTTGTGAATTATAGTTAATGACTTTAGTATTTGTATGAAAAATATTTGTGGTTCGTTTAGTTTTCATGCAATTCTAATTTATTTTCAATTTATTGTAATTGCACGATAACAATTTTTTTTATTCTCGCGAGTGATGCAATTTTTTTTTAATGTTTTGCTTAAAATTGCAATAATCGCGATTGATTGTAGATTGACTTTTAATTATGACATATTTAATCATATAATACTAATGCAATTGGTTGTTGATTCAGTTGTTTTAAGGTGCATGATTGTTAATTGTTTCCTGAATAATCACATAGTATTGGAAACAAGTGTTGGTAATGATCAATCCCACATAGTATTGGAAACACTATTGGGAATGGTATTTAAGGCTTGGCTTTCCCACTTCCTTGTTGAGTGATAGAGAACAAGGGGGACTCTCGCGCGCCGTCGCCGTCCGTCTCGTCTCGGGTCGTGGTCGTGGTAATACGTGTCTTCGACACATCCGTGCGAATACTATCTTTTTAGAGAACTTCGACTATTGCAACGAATTTGTAATAAATCGCAACGCGAACTTGGACTATCGCAATAAATTTGGAATAAATCGCAACGCGAACTTGGACTACCGCAATGCGAATATGTAAATCGCAATGCGATAGTCGAAGTTCGCGTTGCGAATCTGGAAACTGATTTGCGATACCGGAGATCGCGTTGCGAATTATCAATCGCATTGCGATTTAGTTGGTCATTTTGGCAAATCCAAAAAAATTTGGTTAAAATCGTATATTATAAGGCATTTTTGGTCACTGAGGTTATTTTCTCTATTTTTTATTATGCTAGGGGCATGGACATGGTTTGGCATGGCTCTGAATTTTAGTCAATGTAATATGAGATTATTTTAAGCAAATATTTAGTTGTGTTTGTCAGGGAATGGTTTTGTCTCTGCTGAGTATGAGGATGGAGGTTGGGACCGAAGTCGTGGCTATGCTAGGGGTAGAGGTCGAGGAAGAGGATGTGGTGTCAGAGGCCGTGGACGTGGAGGATACAATGGTCCTCAGTTTGACAGGCAGCAAGATGATGACTACAATTATGAAGCCCCTCCCCAAGGCGGTCGTGGTTAGTTATCTGTTCTATTTTTCTCAGTTTTAATAAAATCTTAACATGTTTAATAGTTTTCCACATTAACTGTGGTATGCATGTCAATTATCACCAATAATATTGTACTTTGTTCCCCTCTTAACATAATGCAATTTGAACTATTTCGAACTTGGAGAATCAAAGTGCACTTGGAATACAAATAAAATGATGTAGGGCTTGAAGAAGTTAATAAGGAGATGCAATTATTGATTTGTTCCTGGCCTGAAATTTCTTATTGTCCGTCAATTGCAATAAATAAAACATTAAGCTATTAAACATTATGCCAGCTTTGGGAAGAAAGACGGTGAATAAACAAAGAATATAGTTTCTGATGGTTACTGAAAGACGGTGAATAGGCAAAGAATATAGTTTCTGATGGTTCCTTGATTTTCTCTTTGAAGGCCGTGGCCGTGGCAGGGGGTATCGTGGAAGGGGCCGTGGATTTAGATCTAATGGGCCACTCCATGCAACTGCATGAGGTGGTGTGTGGCAGTCCTTGAACGAAATGGAATGACGGTGTTGAATTCATAACCAGTCATGTTTATGGTTTTTTTTTGGCTTGTTCTTTATTTCTTCTATAGCGTTAGGTTTGCACATTTTTTTGTTCGTTGTTAAGTGCTAGCAGTTTAAGTCTAGGACGTGTTTGAGTTCGAGTTAGTGTTGATGTTCATGAGTAGACATAGAATAGTTGCATTTCAGGTTTCTACTAGTGCAGCGGCCGCCTCACACTATAGGAGGCAGAATGTCTTCTTTTTTGTAGCCTTAGCTTATATGTTTTGAACAATTGTAAACATGATTTTTCCCCTTTCCGTGATTTAACTGTTTGGTGCAATCAATGAACGACTATATGCTTACAATTTTATGAAAAACGATTTTCATCACCATGGATTTAATTTATTGAGCTATTTGTTAATGCCATGTTAAGTTTGAATCATTAAACTTGATTTATTTGAAATACACATGATTAGAGGCCTACATCATTTAGTGTTTGAGTTACGCATATTCAAACAACTAATGTTTATGGTAAAATACAATTGGATTGAATTTAAATTGTTTGAATTTTCAAAATGGAGTTGGAATTGACATGCTTAGGGCAATACTAATTAAAATAACGAATCCATATTTTAGGGCCCAAACAAGAACTCCAATCTCTGTAATCTGGAATAATAGGAGAGATCAGTGAAGAGAGCATACAACACAAAATTGAGAAGAAGAAAAAAAGTGAAAAACCCTCGCTCGCTCCCCACGTTTAATTCCATCAATGCCGGATATCATGCTCGACCAAGCACATAAACCGGAAGAAGCAGCCGTTCCGAACAACTTACAGCAACACCACAAACAAGACGAAGAACAACAGCAATCAGTAATAGGAAATGCAGAATATGAAGATGAAGAGTTACATAAGCTTCTAGTCCCTGACATAGCCCAACTTCCTCTTACTCCCCCATCTTCTGTTGAATCCAACTTTGCCTCTTACTTTGCTCCAGGTTCTTCCATTTTTTCCAATTCGTATTGAATTGTCTAATTCGTGTTGAGTGTCTCCTCTAATCAATTTTTTAAAGATTTTATGAAACCAGGGAACGACCAGTATGTTTATCGACATCCTAATGGGTAAGAATTCCAAAATTTCTTGGTGGTTTTATTGAAAGAATGGGAATTTTGAGTTGAATGAACTTAAGTAATCTAAATTTGTAGATTGTGTGTTGTTGGCTTGGCTTCGACCCACTCGGCATTTAAGGATAAAGGTGGGGTCTCTGCCGTTGATTTCAATATTGGCAAATCCAATCGCAGTGGTATGAAGGTCACCGGAAAGAGAAAGAAGGCAAGTCCCTTTTATTTCTGTAATTGATTGGAAAGCCATTTGATTATTGTTTTATAATCGAAATCCCTCTTTTTCTTTTTCTTTTTGGGTGGGGTTGGGCGGGGGGGGCGGGGTTTATGTGGTTTGTCTCTGTGATATTATTTATTAGTAATACGTTTAAATTGTGAAACAAATAGAGAATTCATTACCACTTTTTATTATGATTTCAAAGAGTTTAATTTCTTTCATGGAGTCTGAGCATTTAGCTTTGACAGTCTTATTGAAGTTAAATATGCTACTCTTGTAGAAAGCTCAACACTTCGAGTCCAATACAACTTTGTGCATAGTTTGTACAAATGATGGTTCATATATTATAAGGTGGGTATGATTATTTTCGCTCAGCTTCTCTCCCTCTCCTTGTTTTTTTTAAATCTAAACGAATAGCAGTTTCGCGCAGGTGTTGTGTTAAAGGCTCTTTTGGAGGTGAATGAAAGATTGATCAAACAGCCAGGCCTGCTTAATTCATCGGTGAGTATAACTTAGCTACTCTCTTTTTACTGGTTTCTCAATTCATGTGTGTTCACAAATTGGAATCTTGTGATTTGCGGTAACACGTCTTTGTCATCGCCAATACTTCATGTTCTCAATAATTCAAAAGGCATATGTTAAGATAAGTTGGTCAAGCATATAACCTACAGCATTGGTGTAAATGTCAATAAAGAGATGTCCAAATTTCTTCTTCCGAATCAGGATATGGAAGAGTGCGGAGTTATAGCTAGTAACCTAAAAGGCTTGTGATCTCTTTGTTACAAAGGTTGAGCGTGTTGAATAAAAGGTTATAAAAGAACACAGTTTTTGCTACTGAGTGCCACAACTACAATTGCTTAAAACTTCTTGGATAGAATCTTATATGGCTGTCTTATTGTGCGGAGTTAATTTGGAATTCTTTTAGTTCGACAATTTGTCTAAGTGTGGCAAAATTTATCCAGTTGTTAAAAAACCTGGATTTTTGTTATTGTTGTATGCAGGCAGATAGAGAAGGATACATAGCAATTATAATGCCAAAGCCAGCAGACTGGCATAAGGTCAAGGCTTCCTTGTTGAGCCTTGGAGAATTCAAGAAATTGAGAGAAGCCGGCTCTATACTTCCATCACATAATTCAAGCTGAAGGAATCCCTTTTTTTTTTTATAGATTTTTGCTGGGTTAAGTTAATCACTGTGACAAACTCTATACTTCTCCGGCTCTAGATTCCGGCTGGCTGAATTATGTAGCACTGCTCCATTTTTCTTTGTATTTCCTTAAGCTAAATAGTTCAAGAACAAAACTTTGTTTTGTTGTCCTGTCCCATGAAATGATAGAAGCAGAAAAGTAAGCCATTCTTCAACTTCTTGATCCAAATGATTAATGATGTTTACATTTAAAGTGCGCAAATACACACACTCAAAGAACTAACAATGGCTAAACTCTATAGCAGTCAATTTCTTTTACCCTGATAGCTGTAAAGCCGAAGAACTGACAAGCTTATAGCCTACCAGGCACATTAATTATGCCACGATCAATGCTTTAACTACACAAAAAGCATTACAAAGAATTCTTCATGAATGACAAAGCTAGTCTATGGCTGTGAATCAACTATTTCTTCTATCACGTGCCTTCTCGATTTGTTGATTGTGTGAAAACATAGCTTTGTATGTTCTTCAAGCTCTTTCAGTTGTTCCAAGAAGCTAGAATCGTGCATACGGAATTCTCTAACAACCTCCTTTAGTACCTCAATCTTCCCATTTCTAATGCACATATTAGCAATGGCTTTACGGTGCTCGATCTCGTCGTGTAGTCTCCATACTAGTCTACTTATGGTATCGAAATCGTTGATCAAAATGTAAATCCCTTTAGCTGAGATGTCAAGTTGCTCACCAAGTCTTTCCAGCAAGCTTGGGGTAGGTCCTTGCTTATGAGACGATGACAGGGTTTTCTTCTTCTTCCTAATGCAAATGAACCAGGCTACAAGCCCTGGTGCGGCTATAATTCCGAACATGCTGTGGAAGGCAAGTATCAGCAATGCAACCACAAGAGCTGTATGAGAAATTACTAAACAAAGACCTCCAATCTGTTTGGAGATTCTTTTCGATTTCGCTTTTCGTCTTATATTTTTGCATTTCGACGTAAGTTTTCGGAACAAATCCAGGTTATTCTCATGAATCTTCCGGAACTGCAACTGTGTAATGATCGACAACGGGTTTTTAAGCAATGCAAATCCAGTTAGCTCCTTAAGTATAACGTTGCATTGTTCATCTGAAAAATCCTGAACCCTCTTGCATAGCTTGATCACCTTTCGAATCCTCTGATAATAAACTCGCGTCTGGTGGATGCTTTTAAGGATTACTTCGCATAAATTACAAGCTTCCAAACCGGCTTCGAAGTAATCTAGAAGAAGGTGATGAACATTCAAGCTCTCTATCTTGTCCAACGTTTCTTGCCTCGGTTTAAGCAAGAATTCCGACAAGTTTATATGAACATTACCAATCGAAGACGTTGAAGGTAGTTTATCAAAGCCATGAACTTGACTCCACATTTCCACATAAGACTTTGTTCTAAAAGCTTCCTTATATTCTTCATTAACATTTGTCTTGTCACTCAAGTTATTTCCATTCTTCATCTCCGATCTGCCTGAAAACAAACAAACAAACAAACAAAAACCCACAACTTAAGATCCAAAAACCTGGAAAAAAAGAGCAAAACCCAGAAATCCATTCATGTTATAAACCGACTGACCTGATTTTAGCTTCGGAAAATTGATCATCTTCATCAAGCTTTTTCTTTTCTGGTTTTCTTTTTTAAAACTTTCTCACATAAAATCAGTTTGAATGAAATAGATTAGGATTTTGATTGTTTGATCGAATATTTATATACAGAGTTCGATGGCTTGAAGGGTTCGAAGAGGTTAACTAATATGAACAAATGACAGTTTAATCAGAGGGTGGAAAGCTTTATAGCTTTGATCACACGATAGCGTCGCTCGTCACGGTTGTTTATCTACGTGTAATGGCTTGGGGCTTGCTCTTATCATAAAATAGTGAGGCAAAGCTCGGAGGTTACGAGTTTTGGAGTTTGCTCGTACGCTATTAATTTGTCTAATTTTTCCTTTTTATTTATCCATTTAAAATCAGTATTAATAGTGTTCTTTAAAAAAATAATAAATCATTTTTCCTTTTCTGGTAAATCATGCTTTGAAATTTAAAGTCTAGCCCTATAAGTTAGATAAACGTGTTCTCTAAACTTACATTTGAAGATGCTGACCATTATTTCATTTATGCTTCAAGTTGAAGCTTTTTTTTTTTAATTGTAACAAAATTTAACTTTTGAAATAATTATTATTTCAATTTAAAAATGCAATAAATAAAGAATATATGATGAGAGCTATAAATATTGTATATGTGATATTTTACAAAATAATTATAAGAATATATATTTCATTACTGGTGTAATTTTCTTAATCCTTAACTTTTATAAGAATCGATAAGTATAATTGAAATGTCTTAGTTATACTTAATTTAATGGGAACATGCTAATTATAATGACTATAAAAAAATATTACACAGAATAATTATAAACAATTATCTGATAACTTTTCAAACACATTTTTAATTATATATATGACATTTTCATGCGCTTCAAATATTTGTATAATATATTAAAAGAATTTTATTAATGGGTATTTTAGTTATTAACGATGCTTTTAATATTATTATGTATTAAATATATTTTCATTCAACATTAAAATATGTTATGAAGTTGCACCAACTCGGTTCAACAATGAAGTAACATTAGGATATGTAGTTTTAGGGTGAAGTTAGTTTTATATTAGGGTTAGAATTGGATTATAAGTTATAATTTTATAATTTTAGAGAGACCGAAGAGAAATTTTATTGTATTTGAGCCTGATAAAATTTAATAGTGTGTAAAATTCGAATTGATTTTTAAAAAAATTAAATTTTATAATAAAAATAAATTGAGTTACTCGTATAAATTCAAATTTTTTATTTGGATTTTGAGCTTGAATAAAATTTAAATTTATAAAATTTAAATAATAAAAAACAACAATTAAAACAACATTATTTTGGTATTTAAATAAGTAATTTGATTTTTCTCTATTTAGTCATTGATTCTTTTGTTTCTTCAACTCCCCCTTAGTTTTAAATCTATTTTATGAGAAAATTTGAATCATATGTTCATCGACCATTATGGAATACCCATATAGTTTTAATTTCTCTTTTTGAAAATAAATTTTTAATTTTTAATTTAATCTCCCAATTTTTTTATGTTTTTCTTGTTTTTTCAATTCCTATTTTGCTTTCAGTTTTTTTGTTGATAAATTTGAACTATACGTTCTTCTATCAATGTAGAATACATATGCAACTTCAGTTAATCTTTTGACAATAAATTTTCTTATTTTTTAATTTAATTCCTTAACTTTATATTTTATTAATTTAGTCATCCGACCACAACTCTTTGCAAATTCTTCCTTAACATCAATTCATTGACACATTTATACCCACATCAATATTTCGTCATCAAAATATTTTATTTGAAAAATAATATTATAAATATATTATATAATTTTAGATGATACTTGCTTTATTAAATAATATTATAAATCTTACTTATAGGTGTGAAAAATAATACGAAGAAATATATTATGTATTATATGGTTAGAACCATTTAAATTGAAACTAATTAGTATCCATAACATTATAAATAATCGTATTTAAATTTGAACAAAAACTCAACAAATTAATTCGATTTGACTCAACTCGACTTGAATTTTTTAAAATAAAATCTAAATAACAAAATGATAATCGTAAATTCAATCAATTCAATTTTTTTATTTAATACGATCGAATATTCATCTTTAAATGAAACTCGTGCCAACCCCCGAATACCCACCAAAGATAACTACTAGAAATGATAAGTATTAACTTGAAGTTATTCATCTCTACCGATATAAACTACATCTGAAGTTACGAAATTATTATACGTAAACACTAAAGATAGAGTTCAAACCTTTTGCGCGGTTAAATAACCGTGATATGTTTTTAATTATTTATCTAAATATGAATTAAAAAACCATGATAATAGATTAAGATTATTTATGGATACAATAATCCACTATTAAGATATTTAATAATAATCTTATATGCAGGAATCAAGCGATCTTGATGGTAAAGGAATTATTGTTATTTTTTGAGGTCTTAGGTTTAAGCACTAAAAATATCAGGAGTGTGAGCATTCAATATCAAACGATTGAAAGTTATATTTAAATATATTCTATCTTGTATTTACTCTAGATTAATCAATAATAATAATAATCTTATATGACATTTTTTGACAGATTATAAATCTAATCATAATCCTACTTAGATGAGTGAGGAATGATTACTTTAGGGGAAGGAGAGAAAACCGACTAAATATGCTTACTTAGATAATTATATAATCTTATACGATATTGATTATAATTTTTTTTCTTTAATCTTAATTTCATTTTTCCTTGTTAAAAAATTAAAAGAGAAACAACTAAATCAAGCCCAAGTAAATCAAGAGATTAAGAACTTAAGGCTTCAATTTATGTATCAATTATCAGTCGGTTTTGTAAGATGATATATTAGATTTCTTAAGCAATATAAGGATTTTTTTTAACATTATGAATAGGAAAAACTGGATTGAAACGGTCATCTTCATAATAAATATTTATGGTGTTCGACCTGAATTAATCAATCGATAGATTGAAAACTAACAAGTGGACATACCAAATAGAGCTCAAATTTATGCAAGTATTTTTATTTCCTTTCTTTTGAGAAGGTGCTGCGAGTTGTTGAAGAAGAGATTTCCCCCAGCATGAAACAGTCGATATAATAAAACAAAACGCGCAAAGACATAACAAACTTTGCCGAAATTAAGTAAATGGTTGGATCAATTAGTTCAAACTTAGCACTCTACAAATTATTGCGTCTACTTCTGATCTTCTTAATTGGATTCGGACAAAATCTAGATTTTATTATATATCTTATTCTGAGATTAGGAGTTGGCCACGTAATCTATTTCTGTTTTATTTCGGTCCCACCTTAATAAATTTGCAGAAATCCAGGTTGAACTGTTAAACCATATTAATCGATTGACGCCCCACTCAATAATGAATTCATAATCTCCCCCCTAAACCCCAATCATCTGTGAACCAAATACATGAGTTAAAAATTAACAAAATCTTCTCTATTTCCAATATTTTTAAAATATATATTTTTTAAATTTTTGTATATTTAATTTGATTTTTTTTAAAATAGGTTATTTTGTTTTAATTTTAATTTTAAGATATAACATATATTAGATTTTTGTTAATTTCAAAATTAGATAATTTGATATCTTTCATTCTTCAATCATAATTTCATAATTGGTATTAATCGATATTAACGTAAGGGATAAATATATGATGTTCTGTTAGAGCGAACCAGTGGTGGATTTATAAATGTTTTTTTAGAGTTTTCATACATATTGCCGAAACATAATTTATTGAATATAGAAGGAAATTTAGATTTCAAGGTTGGACACAATCGATAAAAGAAAATTTAAATTTAAAGAGGTAAAAACATATTTTCAATATAAAATATAAGGAAAATATCTAAAATATATAGAAATTTAAAATTTTCAGGGGATGGCTGTCTACCCCTCACTCCTTCGATTCATGCCTGATTAATGTGTCAACTTTTTATCTATACACACCATGAATGGTATTGTTAGTCAAGTATCACCTTTTTATGAGTTGATTTTGTCAATCGCTTATTTTAATAATTATACCAAATTCTATCAAATAATGATAATAATATCTAATAAAGACTGAGATAATTATGAAAGGATCAATAAGACCGTAATCTCTTTTTCAAAAAATATTACTTTTTGAACATATCTTTTAAAGTTACTTTTAAACATATATATAGTCTTTATAAGTTTATTTTTTAAAATAATTTTTTTAAAATAATCCCTCTATTAATATAAAGATCAATTCGTTAATCAAAATAGGTTGTCACTTTACATGGGATTCGAAGTAATTGGAAGGGACTAGAAATACAAACAACAAAGAAACAAAACAATGATTGGGATACGAATGATATAAAAAAAGAACCGAAACAAATGATCGCAACTGAACCGAGAAAAATAAATAATAAAATGGACCTACTCCTCATGACTTGCGTTGGTTAGTTAAAGCAAAAGAGAAAGAAAGGTGTCCATTAATGGACCAACTGTTATGTATTGGGGATTTCTATAACATTCATATACCTACCCAAACCTTACCTTAAGATGGTGTTTGGTTCAAGGATTGTGGGATTTCCTTGTTTGGTTGGCCGGGAATCTCATTCCCGGTAATATTTTATTACCAATAGTAAATTTTTTGGGTATATTACCGGGAATGTCATTACCTCCATTCCCTTATGTATTGTAACATTACTGGCGTTTTGGACTAAAATACCCTTAAATTTTTATTTGTTTTTTCAAAAATATCATTATTCTGTCATTGAATAATAAAAATTCTACGAAGGTTAAATTACAAATTTATCCTTAAATTATTTTAGATTTACAAAAAAAATCTATAATTAAAATTTTATATGAAGTTCAGAGGTAAAAAAAATTTACCATTTCATTAAATATTTTTTATATTTTTAATTTTGTAAAAAAAATTATATAAATATTATGAATTTAATTTTTTAAAGAAAATATATAAATATTTTACAATTTGTAATATTATACAAATATATAATAAAGAAAATTTGGTCAAATATAAATTCCAATAATCTTTTATTCTTTTAACCAAACACGGTAATCTTACATTCCTGCTAAACCAACCAAACACAAAATACAACATTCCCAGTAATCCTATTCCCTGATAATCTTTTATTCCCACTGGTAATCTTACATTCCGTGAACTAAACGCATCCTAAAAACGAGTGGCAACATAATAATATGATGGATATTTATGGCTGTCCGACTGCCAACACATTGGATTATTGGACCAGAAACTGCATTTATTACCCTTTTATACGCATGCGTATTACACAAGGTTTTATTACATTCATTTTGGTACCACAAGTTTGATTCCATGCTTTATATAAGGTCGAACCAAATATTTGTTAAAAGAGATGGATAATTTATTGATAAATATTGAGTGTAATTCTGAGATACTTTATATTTTTAATGAAAGAAATTGAAATTTAAACTTTAAAAACATTAATGAGAGAAACAAACAAGAACAAACTCTAAACATAAAGCGTAAAATATGTATGAAAATATTTGAAAATAAAGATAAAAACAGATATTTAATAAAAAAAATTAGGAGTTTAAATATATTTCAGTTTAAGGTTTTTGATTTATAGCACATGCAATAATATTAATTGAATTAAAGTTTAATTTTAAAGATTATTAATTTGATTAATAATTCAAGTGAAAAATCATAATTAGATTTTTTAAGTAAGGTAAAAGGTTCAAATCATGAGGTTTACGAATGGAGCAAACCAAGTTAGGAAAGTCGTATTCGCTTTTATAGTACTTGATTCGGTTTAGTTAATTAATAAATCATTTACCGATAATTATAAAAAAAAACCCATAGGTATCTATCACCTTGATGGGATTTTTCCTTGATTTTTGTGGGGGCATTTGGTGATATAGATAGCTCAAGTGCTGGTTTGATTATGATATAATAATTGGACATATGGAACTCTTTCTTCGGTTTCCCTCGTGAGTTTGCTTCGTACTTATAACTCCTTGAATGTAGCCTAATTTCAAGTCCTTTCGGCTCATTTTTTCTTCATTTGTGAAAGATACTTGTAGCTAGGGGTGCACAAAAAATCCGAATATCCGAAAAAAAATATCTGAAACCGGTTTTAGAAAAAACCGGTTTTTTTTTAACCGGATCGGATTTTTTTAAATCGGTTATTTTAACCGGTTTGGAGAAAAAAACCTAGACCGATTTTTTTACCGGATAAAAAACCGGTTAAAAAACCGGTTTTTATCCGGAAAAAAAAACCGGTCTGGGTTTAAAAAACTAGCCGTTAATATAGCCGTTGGGGGGGTTTTGTGACCGTTTTTGACCGTTTTTTCTTTAAAAAATTACCATTTTACCACCCTAAACATGTATAAATAGGTTGGGGATGTATTTGGTTGATTACAAATTCCTCAAATCTTATTACACAACACTTAAACATCTCTCAAATCTTACTTTTGTAATTTTTTGTTCATCATGAGTAACACGGCTGAATCTTCCGTCGGGGGAAACCTTGAAGTCGTGAGAGTGATCGAACACACTCGAAACAAAGACATTTGGGATCACTACGATTTATGTGAGATGTCAAATGGCTCGAGGAGGGCGCGTTGTAAACTTTGTCTAAAGTTTCTTGCATCGGAAGGAAACACAACGTTGAAGAACCATTTGACAAAATCATGCAAGGCACTTCGCTCAAAATCGGATCCTAGTCAATCGAATCTTACACCGCAAGGTGGTGTTTTTGTTTACGACAACGAAAAATTACGAGAAGCGTTTACAAAGTTCGTGATTACAAAAGCATTGCCGTTCGACCACTTTGATGATGAAGATTTCACGACAACAATTCAACAACTAATGCAACCACGTTATACTCAAGTAAGTCGTACTACCCTTAGAAGAGATGCTATGAAAATGTGGCGTACGGCGAGGGAAAAAATGATTTTAGGATTCCAAGAACACCGTTATGGTGTGTCGCTTACATGTGACGTTTGGAGTTCCCCTCATAATACCGGAAATTCTTTTTTAGCCGTTACGTCACATTGGTTAGATCAAGATAATTGGCAAATGATGAAAAGAACAATCGCGTTTGAATTATTCGGTGAGCCGCATACCGGTGTTAATTTATTTACACTTTTAAAAAGGGTAATTTGTCTTTATAAATTAGAAAATAAAGTTTTTTCTATATCCTTTGATAATGCATCGAATAATACAAACGCGGTTCCAAGATTGAAAATATTACTTTCACCGATTTTAGACGGTGCGTTTTTTCATACCCGTTGCGTTGCACACATAATTAATTTATCCGTGCAAGCCGGTTTGGAGGTTATTGAGCCGATTAGATTAGAATTCAAAACAATGATAAAATCGGTTCTTTGTAACAACAACAAAAGACTAAATGATTATAAACGATTTTGTAAGTCCGTTAATAAAAAAGCTTTGGGTCCTAATTTGGATTGTCCAACTCGTTGGAACTCAACTTGGATGATGATGCATACTGCCTTAAGGCAAAGGGAAACATTGCAAACATTTCACGATCGGCTTTTCGAGAGGGGTCATGTCCCAAACATTTATCCGGATTCGAGTTGGGAAACTATAGCCAAAATAACCGATTTGCATGAGGTTTTTAAAAATGCAACAACTTTTTTATCCGGTGTTTATTACCCTACTAGCCCGTTGGTTCTTAATTAAATATTTTTGTTGGCTACCCGACTAAATGACTTTGAATTTGAAACCGAAGTTTTTCAAGAAATTGGCTTTGCAATGAAGGAAAAACTTTTAAAATATTTTAAGGTGATTCCCCCCATTTTTACTTGTGCCGCCGCTTTAAACCCAACGTTAAATGTCGGTGGGGTTGAAACACTAATTGAACAAATTGCGTTTGCTTTTAATCTAACCGATGATGAACCCAACTTTGTCCAAAACCAAATAAATTATTTTAACAAATGTTTTCGAGACATGTTTGCAATTTATTTAAATAAATACGGATCAAGTAGTGTAATACACGATCAAATGAGAATGAATGCGGAATCATCTAGTAGACGTCCAAGTAACATAAATTTGAATCTTTTTAACACTCTTGTAAATTCCCAATCCAAACGATCACGTACTACCACCCCAAGTAGCGAGTTGGGAAATTATATGTCATGCGATTTTCTATCAAAAATGACATTTGAAGAGTTTGAAAGTTTGGATATTTTGGCTTGGTGGAAAGAAAATGAAGCACAATTTCCGATTCTAGCCGCCATGGCCCGTGATTTACTAACCGTCCAAGCTTCTACGGTAGCTTCGGAATCCGCTTTTTCTGTTAGTGGCAGGGTTATATCGCAACGGAGATCAAGACTAAGTCCCGAGTTGGTGGAAGTATGCATTTGTTTAAAGGATTATTTGGATGGAGCGGCTCGTAAGCAACATATCACCACACTAGAAGATGCAATTGATGCCGATTTGGAAGCAAACTTACACATTGAAGAAGTCGAACTTGGAATATCCCCTCCAAACGAAGAAGGCGAAGATGATGAAGAAGAGATGGCAATGTAGTTTATTTTATAACTTTATTTCAATTATCGTAAACTTTGTTTCAATTATCGAACTTGAAGTTTTTAAGTATTTGAATTTATCGAACTTGGAAGTTTTTAAGTATTTGAATTTATCAAACTTGGAAGTATTTAAGTATTTCAATTATGTTGAGTTAATTAAGTATTTAAATTTATCGAACTTGAGGTTTGATGCTTTCTCTTTGATTCTCTCTTGATTCTAGTTGCTTGATGTTTCTTGTCTTTGATCAATGGCTTCTAAGCTTGCTTAAATACACTTTGAATCACTTCTGAACTTTAGTGATAATTAATGAAGATAATATAGCCGTTTAAGTGTGAAAACATTTAATAAAAATGCTTGGAGCGTGGGGGAATCGGTACCCTCATAGGGAATCGGTTCCCTAAGTGTAAAATTCAAATATTTCGACCGTTGAATAGGGGGGAATCGGTACCCCCTATGGGGGAATCGATTCCCTCCGAGCATTCTGGAAATCTCGGAGCCAAACCATTCAGTGAGGAATCGGTACCCCCTTGGGGGGGAATCGGTTCCCTATGAGTAATCTGAAATATTAAAATCGGTTTTTTTATAATCGGTTTTTTAAAAAAACCGGTTTTTTTAAAACCGAAACCGGTTACACCGGTTAGGATATCCGGCCCTCCAAACCGGTTAAAAACCGAACCGGTTATTTTATAAACCGGTTTTTTTTCTATGAGAAAAAACCGGATCGAATAAAAACCGATCCGGATCGGTTTGAAATCCGATAAATGTTCATCTCTACTTGTAGCAACTAGCAAGTCCTTTCGGCCCTTTTCAACGGAGAATTGTGGGTTAAAACACCTTCCAATCTCCTTAAATTTTAATTAAATCATAATCGGAACTAAAAATTAAAGTTGTCTAATCCATTACCGTCAACCTTAAATTTTAATTGAACCATAATCAAAACTAAAAATTAGATTTCTCTAATCCATTTCTGTCAACCTCAGTTTAGCTTATTACCGTCACCTTGTATTTAACACAAAATCAAACTATACTATTTTTTGAGATCAATGATCACTTCTTTCATTCATTAAAAAATGATATTTTATAACGCTTCAAATTTGGAATCTTATGAATTGTTTTAAAAAATAAGACTTTAATTTGTCAAAACAATGATTAACGTCAGTAACCAGAATAAAAGCAAATGACCATTATTTTAGTAATTATAACATGTCATAAAAACTCCATGATCAAAATGAAAACATCTTTAAAAATTCAATGGCAACCAACATAATTTACCCTTTAAACAATTCAAATACAAATTTAAAATGATTTAAATAAATTTATTGTCTTATAGAAATTGTAACACATTATTTGTAAATAAAACAAGCTATAGTAATTATTTAATTATGATATTTCAAATTTTATACAGAGACATGACCTGTCATCTACAGTGAACTTTCGTACACATGAGACTTGAGAAGATCAAGGATATCAAATAGGTTTTTTAAGAACAAAGAAATCATAATCACAAAAACAAAACCAACCCATTTATAGTTTATAATCGTCATTATTTTAAAAATAACCAGAACCCCAATAAGTATAATTAAATCAATAAGAAATTCATTGGGAAGATTAAGATCCTTCCCTGATGACAAAAAAGTCCAAGATCAATGGGCACTAACAAGGAAAGGATGCTGGCAGACTCCACATTCAATGGTTTCAGAACCTGAGCTTGGAACTTGGACCTGTAACCATTCTCAAATCAGCCACAAACTATATAAAACATTTGATGATATACTTGCAATCGAGATAAAGATTCTGCACATGGATTCCATACCTGCAAATGAACAGTGCAGGTAGGGCAGGCAACTTCCTTCATCTGTTGACCGGATCCATCATATTTCGAGCCTAACAAAAAAAACACCATTTAAGGCTAACATAATTGTAGATTTCTCCTAGCTACTAAATGCGTCCTAGAACTGATCCGATCGCGACTATTTTCACCTTGCCAAACTGGTTATGACAGTTTGATCGAGTGTGTTTATATTATTCAGGCAACACTTTCAGCTGGTCGTAACCACTTCCATATTATTATACTAATATAATTATGTACACATTTACGTATATGCAAGTAGCTTCTTTCACAGTAATGAAACAATACTGGAGATACAAGTAGTTACCTGATGATGCTCTGTGATTTTTTTCCATCTCCTCATGAAGCTTCCTAGCAAGATCCTCGTGACTCTGTAATCCACTAGGTTTACTTGCTGTTTCCTTAGCATTACTCATCCTCTGAGTCACTTCAGCCTACAATAAAACAATAAGAACTAATGTTAGCAATATTGATCAAGACCACTACGAATTTAAAAAACAATATTTATCAGGAAAAACGAAAAGAAAGGAACAAAAATATAACAATACAAACATTCTGTCCTCCGTTCAGCAAACAACTTTCCTTGAACTGCATATTCAAATCAATAGAAGTGCTTTATGGAAACATTTTAGTTTTCATGGCAAGGTGATTAAGGTGTTTACCCCGTTTGTTAATAGGAGACCTAACTATAAGGTTAGTACGTTTGCCTTTGTGCATTTTGCAAGTAAGGAGGATTTGCTAAAGGCAGTGGAGCGTATGAATAACGTAGTGATCGATGGGAGGAGGGTATTGGTGTCGATTGTTAAATATCAGAGGAATAGTGTTGCGAGGAACTTGAAGCGAAATATAGTGGTGGGGTCAAGAGATGCAGGTGCAGAGGAGTGCAAAAGGAAAAAACCAATACCCAGAGTGGATGATGTAGGGAAGAAGGAGCTGTTAAACAAGTTTCATGATGGTAGGACATATAAGGATATAGTATTGGGGGTGAAAAAAGTTGATGGCCAGCATATGAGTAACGTTGGAGACAAGAGGGAGGTGAAAAAGTCTCTGCAAGTGTTTATTCCAATGGAGGAGAGGGTATGGCTAAGGTCGTCTTTAATAGGAATTTGTAAGGGGATTTTTGAAGTAGAATTTGTGCAGGGGGCTTTAAGGTCTGAGGGTTTGTGGCAAGATGGGGATATGCAAAAAATGCATGTTTGATAGTATTTCATTCAGTGGAGGAGAAAAAAGCAGCGATGGAAGATAAGTGGGAGGAATTGTCCTTCTGGTTTGAAAGGTTAGAATCTGTTGTAGATGAGAATGGTGTTCCATTAACTTATTGTACAGTTTCCTTGATAGGTGTTCCATTAAATTGTTGGACGGTTCCATTCTTTACAAACTTGGCAGCGAGATGGGGCAAGCTAGTGAAGATCCAGGAGCAAACAGTTCAGAAATCGGATTGTAGAGTGGCACATTTGTTGTTGAGGGTGGAGAGTCCTTTTGATATTCCTTCTCAGGTCTCCGTCAATACGTATGGAAGATCGTTTACCATTAAAATTAAGGTGGAAGGGAGTGATGATTTTTTTCCTGTCTTGGATGATATGGTAGAAGAAGACGGAACAGTGGATCCTTGGGAGGAGAATTCATCGGACTGGAGCCAGCGGGATATTCAGGAAGGACAAGAAGAGCAGTTGGGGCAGCAGTCCTTGTCAAATTCACAGGACAGGGTTGAAGCATGGGTTCGGGGGGCTCAACAAGGAGATGATACGTTTATCGATGGAAATTTGAAAGGAAAAGTAGGCGTTAATAAAATGTTGGTTGGTGACTTTTGTTCTGAGGAGACAGTAGTAGGTGGTATTCCCAGTCAACAGGGAGTGTCAGAGGATTTTAATGAAGGGAGAGAAAAGGAGAGGAGCATTGGAGATATCATATTGGGCCAGGACACGGTTGCTCTAGAAAATGGGCTTAGTAACAGCATGGATAGGAGTCTAACAAATGGGTCTGTTCAAAGGAATTTAAGATCAAATATTGTTGCCATTAATTCTGTAGAAGTAACTAATGTTGAAGGAGCTGTTTTAAAGTTGCAGAACGGGTATGTCTCACCAGTGATGCGTCGTCATTCTGGGAAATACACGTCAGTAAGTAAAATTGAGAGAGGTTTTTATAAGAATGTATATTCCAGGAGGTGGGAAGTTAAGAGTTGTAATGGTAAGGAGTCTGAATCCTTTGAAGTGAATGAGATAGAGGGGGTGGCAGAGGCTTTGGAATGTTGGAATGTTTCCAAGTTATTGGGTGTGAAGTTCAAAGGAGGACAGAAAGCTTTTATGGACAAAATGGTTCCTATGGTTAATGAGAGGAACTCGAAAGAGGGAAGGTAGTTGTAATTGGGAAGTAAGGTTATTGTATGTTAATGATGGTTGAGTGGTCGATGTTGTCTTGGAATGTTAGAGGGTTGGGTAGAATGGTGAAAGCTCGAGCGATTAGGAGATTTGTTGATGAGAAGAAACCTACAATTGTATTTTTGCAAGAGTCAATACTGGAGGTTGTCAGTCATATGTTGGTGAGGAAAATGGGGGGTAAAATACTTACTGGTTCGACAATATCTCTTTCTGTAGGCTCTGTTGGGGGTCTAATAACCTTGTGGAATCAGGAGTTTGTGGTGAAGGATGTAGTCATGAATAGTAGATTTGTAGTAACAAAAGGGATTTTGGAAGGAGTACCAGGAAGCTGTTGTTTTATTAATGTGTATGGCCCTAGTGTGGATGCAGATAAAGAGATGTTTTTCAGGGAATTATTATCATTTTTGGATAATGTTGACTGTCCATTATGTTTAGGAGGTGATTTCAATGCAGTGTTGTCACAGGAAGAGAAAGAATGAGGGGTTGTAAATTCGGTAACAATGAATATGTTTAGAGGCTTTGTGAGTAAGGCAAATTTGTTTGATTTGCCTTTGTCTGGAGGTCGTTTTACATGGTGCAATAATCGGGAAGTTCCCACGTTTGAGAGGTTGGATCGGTTTTTGGTTGATCAGAGATTTCTAGTTTGTTTTCCAAAGATAAGTTACTCATTGCAGCCAAGGTCTATTTCAGACCATAATATTATTCTGTTGGAGAACAAAGAATGTAATTGGGGGCAGAAACCGTTCAGACTGTTTAATTATGTAATGGAGAAGGATGGGTTTAGTGAGATGATGGAGAAGGAGCTAGTTAAACTTTGTAAAGAGGAAAAAGGGAAGCCCATGTCTAAGGTGCTGAATAGGGTGAAGGGTGTGGTAAAGAATTGGCCTGGGAGGGGTTATTTAGAGTTACCGGGAAAAATTAGATTATTGGAGAAAGAAATTCAGGATTTGGAATTGGAAATGCAACAAGGTCTTCCTTCGATGTCAATGAAATCAATAATTGAAGCAAAAAAAAAAGAACTATGGGAGCTACAAAAGAAAGAAGAATCGATATGGTTGCAAAAATCAAGACTGAAATGGAGAATGGATGGTGATAAGAATACCAGATTTTTTCATCATAGTGTTGCAGTTAGAGGAAGAAGAAATGGCATTAAGTCCCTCAAGGTGGGTAATGAAGTAGTAGAAGATCCTACCTTAATTAGAGCTTCAGTGGTGGAATTTTTTAATGGTCTGTTTAGTCAGAATAATTCTTTGGAGGCTGAGGATTTAGATCTGGATTTTCTAAAATTATCGGTAGGACAGAGTTTAGCACTTGAGAAGCCATTTTCAGAAGAGGAAGTTTGGGAAGCAATTGCCAACTTGGACAACAACAAAGCTCCCGGACCGGATGGTCTGAATTTAGGTTTTTTTAAGAAATTCTGGTCTTCTTTGAAGAAGGATATTATGTTGTTTTTTAATGAATTTTATGTGGGGAAGGAATGGGATTTGGAGGTGAATCATTCATTTATTTCCCTTATACCTAAGAAGGATAATCCGGAGGGGATGGAGGACTTTATGCCTATTAGCCTTGTGGGAGGGTTATATAAAATCTTGTCAAAGGTCCTAGCTAGAAGATTCAGTTTGTGCATTAATGAGATAATTAGTCCATCTCAATTTGCGTTTATTCAAGGGAGGAATATTTTGGACTGTTCGTTTATAGCAAATGAAGGAATTGATTTTTGCAGGAAAAGAGGGTTGGAGGGGGTAGTCTTTAAGGTGGATTTCAAGAGAGCCTATGATTCGGTAGATTGGTTGGTTTTGTTGAAAATATTGGGTAAAATGGTGAAAAATGGTGCTCTTGGATGTATTAGTGTATGTCAACTGCTTCTATTTCAATTTTACTAAATGGTACTCCTACGGACATAATTCGCACTGAAAAAGGACTTGGTTGCTCGTTATCCCCCTTGTTATTCAATTTGGGCGGCGAATTGCTTCATTTGTTGTTAACTAAAGCAGTGGACATGGGATTGTTTTCGGGCTTTGAGTTAGGGGTTCAAGAAAGTTCTTTCAAGCTATCGCATTTGCAGTTTGCGGATGACCTTATTATTTTTTCCAAAGCTTCAATCCGGGATTTGAAGAATATTAGAAGGGTGTTACTGATCTATGAGTTATTGGTGGGACTGAAGATTAACTTAGTTAAGAGCAGAATTTTTGGAATAAATGTTGAGGAGGAGGTGCTAGCTGGTTGGTCTAATGAAATTGGCTGCTCTGTGGGTAATTTTTCAGCAGAGTATCTAGGATTGTCTTTGGGGTCCAAGAGAAACTCTGTTGCAATGTGGGAGCCTATAGTACAGAGGTTTCATAATAAGTTGACTGGTTGGAAGGTAAACTCTCTAGCGTTAGCAGGTAGGGTGGTGTTGGTTAAATCTGTGTTGTGCTCCCTTCCCACTTATTTCCTTTCTATTTTTAGAATTCCAAAAACTGTGTTGCAGAAATTAAATTCGATCATGGCTGCATTTTTATGGGGGGTTCGACTAATAGAAGAAACATACATTGGGTGAACTGGAATTTGGTCAGTAAGCCAAGAAGGTTGGGGGGTCTAGGGATTCCAAATTTAGCTAATCTGAATAGAGCACTGATGGGAAAGTGGGTTTGGAAGTTTGTTTCTGAAAAGGATTCTTGGTGGAAGAGGGTGGTTTGTTGTGTGAACAATTTGGATCTGAATTCCAAAATGTTGGGGAATTCTTCGACAGCTCGAGCCTATTGGATTTGGAGATGTGTGATTAATAACTTCTTTTCTAGTGATGACTTTGGAGATTGCATTAGGAGAAACTTGCATTTGAAAGCTGGAAATGGGCATTCTGTGGAGTTTTGGCATGATATTTGGTTGGGAGAAGTCCCTCTTAAAGACTTGTTCCCTAGATTGTATGCACTGTCGAATAATAAAGAGGGTAAAGTGGTGGAGTTTAGGGTGAACAGTGCAGCAGGCTGGGTGTGGGACATTCAAATGAGAAGAAATCTAGTGGATTGGGAGATTGAACAATGGTTGCAGCTGATTTCTATGTTGAATAACATCTCACTTTCTCTTGAGGAGGACGATTACTGGATTTGGTTAGGGAATGGAGAGGGTTGTTTTTCAACTAAGTCTTGTATTAATAATTTTTTTGATACGGCTGGTAATCAGGGGATTCAGGCTAAGTGGGACAAATATATTTGGGTCGGGATAGCTCATCCACGTGTTGAAACTTTCATATGGCAAGTTGTTCACCAGAGAGTGACGGTTAAAGAGGAATTGTTGAAGCGAGGAATGGCTGGGATTGAAGACCCTTTATGTTCGATGTGTGGCAGGTTTGTGGAATCTGTTTCTAATCTTTTTCTGTACTGTGAGGTAGTTTGGGGTTTGTGGGCTAGATTTGTGAATTTGTGGAATGTTTCTTTGGTGATCCCTAATAACATCTTAGACTTTATTATTATGTGGAATGATCTACAACAGAATTCCAGTATTTGGAAATTTATATTAAGGGCGGTGTTGTGGACTATATGGAAATGTAGGAATGAGGTTATCTTTATGAAAGGAAAGCTGGATGTGGTGAGGATGTTCTTTATTGCTCGATTTCGAATAGTCTCTTGGTTTGCTGCTAGTTTTGACGTTGTGCAGATCCCTTTCGACTCCATAGTGGGCGACTTAACTCTTGCTGATTCGATTGGTAGACAGAAAAAAATGGATCCAATCCTACTTGTTGGGTTCCTTCTCCAGACGGGTTCATAAAGATTAATGTTGATGGGGCGATGGTGAGTGGTTGGAATAAAGGTGGTATAGGTGGACTCATAAGGGACAACAGAGATGTGTTGATTCACTGGTTCTCTGATATGGTTGGGGGGACCTCCGATTATGGCAGAATTATTGGCGATAAAGAGGGGGTTGTATATGTTGTCTGATTCAGGTGTTGGTCTTAATAAGAGGATTATTTTAGAATCGGATTCAAGTAATGCTTTGAAGTGGATCAAGAATCCGGAACTAAGCTCCCCTATGTTTCTATCCTTGGTGAAGGAGATTGTTTCTATAATGGAAGGGAAGGATATTATGTTAAGGCAAAACTTGAGAGCTGCTAACTGGGAAGCGGACAGACTAGCTAAGGATGGTATAGGATGATCGTTAGGCTTTGTTTTGGTGTGTTAGGGTGCTAGACTCCCTTACATTTCTGCAGGGATTTTGTTTTCTGTCTTATGTAATTAGTGTTAAGTTTCTGTAGGAAGAAGTGTTTAAGTCTTATGTAATTAGGATTATGGCTTCTAAAGTATGATGTAAGGGACGGCAGTGTATTATTCTCCTGTTTAATAAAAGTAGTAGACACTCTTTTCCCTCTTTGTTTGTCCTTAATGTTACTATTGTAATATGGAGGGCAAATAGAGGGTTTTTAACGAGGCCTAATATTCTATCAAAAAAAAATAGTCATCCTTCACGACTCTTTCATAGGCCCGTCCCCTGAAGGAATGCTTTAAATTAAGGGCATTAGAGAAATACAGATACTCTACATGCTCAACCACATGTGAATACTATCTGTATAATATGTCCATATAATCCTGGACTATCACACATCAACACCTGATTGCTATGAAAGAAGATGGCGAGAAACTGATTGGTATCTTACCATGCATCGATCACAAACCCTAACCGGTTGAGCATCCTCATCAGCAGTTAAAGCAATTCTACCTTGGGTACACTTGTCACAGAAAATTTCCCCACAGTTCCTACAGTGGTGCTGAAAAGGAAAATAACATAAAATGTAAACTTAAATGAGAAATAAAGAAAAGCAGGAAACCCCTTTCCTAAACACAGGGAATAGCGAACCTTCCGCCAGAAAGGCCCAAAATCAGTTGCACATGCTATGCACTTGGAAACAGCTTCATCTGGGACCTAACCAATAAAAAAGATCAAGGAGATGAGCCCATTATGAAGAATTTAAATATGTTTTTATTTTACCAGAAATTTATGGGTGAAAAAAATATAGAACTTCTTGCAACTCTAAATTTTACCCAATGATCTTTCTCCTCAATGCCAGGCTTTATCCTATTCATCCAATCAGCAAACCCTCTCTTCTTTTCTGCAAGTTGTTCCGTAGTTTGTAGAGACTCAGGAGGTCGACTACTCCCACCCATTTCCTTGATCTGCAATAAAAAGGTGAAAGAATAAAGTCATCATGCAAAGGGGTGGAAATGTCAAATATACTAACCAGAGGACAAGAAATGAAAGTGTACAAAGAGGATTGAGATGATTCAACAACATAGTCTCCGAAGAAGAAAATATGGAGCCTTAATCATATGAAATATGTCTACAGCCTAGAGGAACCTGATAACAATATCTTCCATATGTTTCACAATGATAAAAGGCTCATTATAATAAAAAATTGAGTGCTGCAAACTCACTACAATACCTTGTCATTGCATACTCGTCACTTCTAACAGGCACTTCAAATACCTAACGGCAGTTTTAAGAGAAGCATCGTTGTTCTAGCAGATCATATTTTTCTTAGGCCACCACAGACAATACACTAGTATTCAACATATCCCTCTTGACTTGTCAACACAGATAAGTTCAATTTTGTGCACGTGTGTGTGTCATTTGCAAATAAAAAGAATTAATAACCAAATCCACATTCACTCGTTTTAATTGGTTGTAGTCTGTTTGCAACTACGATGAATTCATCCACAGCATTGACTCTAGATACCATACTATGAATCAAAAAGAAAAAGCAAAAACAACTCCACAATATATATGCAACTCAAGAGCAAAAACTTTTCTTCTAACTGAAGAAATGAAAAAGTATGAATTAAGAATATACTAACCACAAGTCCACAACCACTCCCACTAACCCCAACAGAAAAATTAAACAATCATGATAATATGAAGTCATACAAATTAAACAGTTTGAGTTTCACAAGAAATTAAGATAGTTACAACTCTACAACACCAACCTGTACAGTTGCAGCTGTTACAATATCCAGAAGGGTGCTTGTAGTGTAACTATTTGATTGCAATCTGATCCGTCTTTCTTCAAAGTCAACAGGGCTCTTGGACCAGAATGCAAAGGTAGATGAGTCTATGACCTGCATTAAAAGAAAACATAGTTTTTATTACAATGCACACATCATTAACAGAGAAATCACAGAAAAACATTTAGAGAAAAAGGAAAAATAAACAAGGCAACTCACTTCACATCTTCTGACGTTTTCAAGAGCATATATTCTCAACGTTATTCCGGTACTGGGATCAAGCATGCGAATACCATCTAAACCAATCTGAAACAAAAAAAAATTAAGCTAAATTATAAATTCAAAGTACTGGATGAAAATATCGACGACTAGCAAGCAGGACCATAAATTAGTAATATCAATGTGAACAACAATTCAGTTTAAATTCACGCATAATGCAACAATATAACCAACATACTTGAAAATCAAAATCATATGCCATGAACTTCATCTTTCCAACCAAAAGTAAATAAATTCCTACGATTTTCATTCAAAAATTACCTGGCAAAGTACATCCATGGGGCCATGTGCTCCGTCTTCAGACAACAACTTAACCCGAAACTTCTGGACCCCACTCTTCACATCTTGCTGGGTTTCAGCCTTCGGCACGGCCTTCACAATCTTAGCAGAAGCTGAATCTGATCCGCTCCATGAGTCCTTCCCAGAAGGGAAATTAATAGGCCGCCCATAATCATCGAATTGAACATAAGTCGACGAATTTGGAGCCGTGCCGCGTGCTCCATAGGGCTGCACTTGTCCTCCTTTATAAGCATAAACCCCAGCACCGTCATCGTATATTGAATAGTTATCCGATTGTTTACCATATAAATCGGATCCCATGTCAGGTCTGCTGCTGTAGTAACCTCCTCCGAATTTCTCATCCAAATAACTGCCACCGCCATGATCGAACTTAACTGAATTATCATAGGAGTTTTCATATGCAGGAGGGACAGAGGGCGCTGATGATCCTACTTGACCATATGCGGAGGAATAGTATGATGGATTAAGCGTGTCGATAGGCTTCGCCGGAGGCTGGCCATAGCCGGAGGCCATCTGATGCTGATCATGCGGCTGGTAATAAGGAGGCTGGGAGGACGGTGGCTGATAAGAAACCTGTGAATCATAAAGCGGAAAAGAAGGAGCCGCGGTCGACACCAGAGGCGCGATAGGTTGTTGATTGAAAGAAGATTGCGAATCCAGGGTAGGCGGCGGCGGAGCGTAAGAGGGAGCCGTGGGAGGTACGGCATCGGAATTTTGAGGATAGGCAGGATAATTTGACGGGTAAACGGAGTAATCAGAGGTAAACGGTGGTGCCGATGCGTAAGGCGGTTGGTAAAAGTCGGTGGGCGTAGGGTTCGGATTCGAGTTTGGAGGGTGAGGGTATTGATAATTGGAGCTAAAATCTCCTTGCTGCATATCTGATCTACGAAAATTCTTCTCTGTTTTGCCGATAGAGAAATTGCCAAGATGGTAAATTAATTCTTCTATTTTCCTTATGATTCGTATTTTGTGGTGGGTGCAAAGTCGAGTCGATGGGGACTCCAGAGGGAAGGAACCTGGGAAAATTATATGAGAAATTCAATGCTTTGATAAATAGGTTTGATGGACGCGTGGCGCGATTTTATATGTTTGAAGCGCGAAATTTCAAAGGACAGTTGATCAGCCGTTGGATTATATAATTTGAGGCAAATTGATATGGCCAATTGTATATCTTGCGGTTGATGGCGAATATTGTTGGGCCGTTCGGGCCTGATAAAAGCTTCTGAAGCTGAATAACTACCACTCTACGCAACGTTTTGCCTTGTACACAAATTTATTAACCAAAACTATTTTATTTAAAAAACTAATTTTTAAAATTTAAAATTATTAGAATTGAATCATATGATTCAAATTCAATTTTGAGTTCAGATTTTAAGTTAAAATCTAATTTAAATTTACAAAGTTTGAATATTTGAAAATTTTAAAATTAAACGGTGTTGTTTTGGTCTATAACTAAGTAATTCGGTTAGTTTATAATTTAGTCTTTAATCTCATATTTCTTCAATTCATCTTACGTTTTATATTATTTTTTTTATCAAATTTAAAACAAATACTCCTAAACCACAATAAAATAATTATTTAACTCCAATTCCTATTTTTGACAACTTTTCTCTTTTTGCAATTTAAATATTCAAATTTTTAAAATTTTCAAATTTTCCTTCGTTTTAAGTTAATTTTTTTACCAAATATAAACCATGCTCCTTTGTATGTAGTTTCAATTTTTACTTTGACAAAAATTATTTTTTTAATTTAGTCTTTTAACTTTTTATTTTATTCATTTTGGTCTTCGATTGAATTTTTTGTAAATTTTTTCTTTCAATCAACTCTTTTAAACCTCAACCGATACTTTGTTCTCAAAAATCATTATTAAAAAATAACTTATATCTTTTAATTTTACATGATATTTTACAGATAAAAAATATATATGAATATATATATATATATATATATATATATATATATATATATTATGATTAGAGAAAGTAGCTTAAACTGGAACATGTATCATAATATTATAGATAATTACAATTGAATCTGAACAAAAACTTTAATAATTGAATCTGATTTGACTTAAATTTTATAAATTTAACTAAAAAGTCCAAATAAAGTTTAAAAATAAAATAGGACTTGACAACTCAACAAAATCATTTTTTTATTTTCTTTGGATTAATCTAGAATAAGTACATGACAGTATTTGCTCAAAGATAATTTCCAATCTCTCGATATTGAACGCTCACACATCTATCGTCAATGGTGTTCAAATTCAAATCTTCAAGGATTATAACAATTTATTTATCACATATGCCACTTTGTTCATGCAATTTAAATAGACCTGATCGAATATTTACCTTATTCTTAGCGACACCCGTATTTAAAAGAATTATCCTTCAGACAAACTATTTTTAAAAAAATGAAAATCTATTTTTAAAAACTAAGACCCAATGTGTAAAACCTTACATGGTCTCCCAGATTTGTTGGGCCAGTGAGGTAATCTTTAACGGTGTACAATTAGTCTAAGAACCATAACAGATCATATATCTATCCATATTTGTAATAGATAATAATTTTAATGTATGAATTTGGAAATTATTCTTATCTATAATATCTAAATTCATAAAAAAAATAGATTATATATATATATAGTATAGAAACATATCATATATCTATAAATATCTAAATATATATTTGTAATTGTAGACACTCATTTTCGCTCGGAGTTATTTTGTTTGTTATATTTTTTATTATATATATATATGTATATGGTAATATAGTTTGTGAAAATGTTTTTGAAAAAATATAATATATAATTTTTTCAGAAAATGATTTTAGAAAATTTATATATTATATAGTTTTTTGAAAATATTTTGAAAATATAATATATAGTTTTAAAAAAACATTTTTGAAAAATTATATAATATATAGTTTAAAAAAATAATTTTTGAAAAATTCTATAGTATATAGTTTTAAAAAACATTTTTGAATAATTATATAATATATAGTTTTAAAAATAGTTTTTGAAAACTTATATAATATTTTTTAAATTTTTTTGAAAACTATATAACATATAGTTTTGAAAACTTTTTAAAATATAATATATAGTTTAAAAAAATATTTTGAATTATATATATTATATAAATTATATTTCGTATATTATTTTTTATTCATTTTATTTATTTTAATTCATTTCATTTTTCTTTTCCAGGTCTAATGTTTTGGTCTGGTTCAAAGTGGTCCAACAACAGTCCAAGTCCAACCAGAACGGGCCTGAACCAGCCCACACAGCTAAGGTTTTCACGTTTGGAATCGGAGCTGCATAGGAGAAACAGAGGGTTCCAGAAGCCTCAAGCCACAAATGACAGTCAAGAGACCACGCACAACGGCGCGAGATTCTGGCCGGGGAAATCGGGACTGACCCATCCCGAAATCCCCGCCAACAGCAAGCACGTTACCATGGTAATCGGAGATAGCCAACGGCCAATGAAGGCTTATAAATACCAAACGGAACCACCGTGACAAGAGGAGGAGATACCGAGTAACAACAGTAAGCCAACCATCAACACACAACCATTAACAATCAGTACCCAAAATCGACAGAGAACACAATCGAATCAGTCACAAACCACACAGAGAGTGACCACCAACACAGTACACAACGAGAACACGACCACAAACATCAACAGCATCTACAAACCCACGACAATACACAACAATAAGCCAAACGGGAGAACGACCCACACAGCAAATCAAAAAAACAAAAAACCATAACACAAAAATACAAGCCAAAGGCCGAAGCCTCTCAGTAAACAAACCAAAACAAGCACGTAGAGAAACTACAAAGCCAAAGGCCTCGGGAAAACAAAGGGACACCGGTGAGAGGGGTAAGAAACTGAAGCTTACACTTTAGATCTACACCATTTGGAGCGTTTTTAGGAGAATCGGGCTTCGGGATTGTGTTTGGGGGGTAGATGAAAGCATTCGGTGAAGGTTTTATCTTTTCCGGCCACCGGAGGTGGCGGTCGAAGCGGCGGAACGGCAACGGACTTGAGATCGGTAGACTGGCCAGCCGAGGGGAGAGTTGGGAGAACTCTCTCCTTTTTTTTAGTTTTGGGTTGCAAATGAAACAAAAAAGCATTTTGTTGGTGTATATATATAGACGAAACTTGTGGGTAAATCGCGTCTTAAACCATCCCACCTTAGCCGCGTTTTACATCTTGGTCCCTTTGGGGGCCAAAATAGATATTATGCCAATTTATTAGCATGTTTTAATAATCTAGTTAATATACCGTTTCAGTCCCTCAAACTTATCCATTTCTTTACACTTTGGTCACTGAACCATTCATTTTAGTTTATTTTAACTTTTATTATTAAATCTTATTCTATTTTTAATTTAGCCACTTTTGTTTCTTATTTAGCCATTTCCATTTTAATTTTCACGTTTTGATCCTTTTTTTTGTTTTTAAACTCTTTTGTTTCTTTTCAAAATTTAATTTAATTTGCTTTTGTTTTTATTTTGTTTTTTTGTTTATTATTATTATTTTCTTTTATGAAATTTTAGCTATCTTTATTTTATTTATTTAATTATTATTATATTAATATTTTTCCTTTTTATTTTTTGTTCTTACAATCTAGCAATGTTTTTGACATTTTAGGGGAACTTTCAATTAATCAAAGGTAAGTAATTCGAATCAAAGATTTCTTAGATTTTAATTTAAATTCTTAATTTTCGCAACTGAAGACAACCGAAAAATTAATTGGTACCGAAAGGGCGGTTCAAGGGTGTTAATCCTTCCTTGCCCGTAACCGACTCCCGAATCCGACACGTTTATGGTAAAACGCAGATCAGGTAAGATGGTGTCCGACCCACCTAAATTCATTTTAAAGTAGTCGGTGGCGACTCCAACCCAATTAATCCAAGTCGAAGCCCAATTTTGGGGCCCAACCGAAAGGTGGTTCCGACAGCTTGGCGACTCTGTTGGAGACAGGTAAGTGAGTCAGGCCGAAATTAATTTTCGGTTGTCTTTTTTAGCGAAAGTTATAAATTTAAATTTAAATTTATTTATTCGATTCTAATTATTTACCTTTGATTATTTTTTAAGTAAATAATTATACTGATGTTTTTTTAATGATTTCAGATTTTTCAAAATTGTCATCTCTAGCTCTATACCCGAGCTCCGAACCCTTTTAAGTGGGGGTAAAAGCAACGCCTTCGTGTGAATTTATTCACCGTATGGGCCTAGCAAGTAACCTTCGGGATTCATATACCATATACCTTCGTGTGAATTTATTCTCCGTATGAGCATAAGGGATTGTTTCCTCTCGAGTTTAACTTAGTCCACATAAGCTTGTAATAGGCTTAGGACTAAGGGTCTGGCAAGCCTATGGGGGCACCGGCAAGAAGAACTCGAGTACCTTTTTTTAGAACATAAACTGGGAGAGTACAGGGAATTAGAGCCCACCCCAAAATCTCATTCCAAACTCTAGGCTGCTTTGATTTTATTTCCTGCTTTACTTTTTGTTTAAAGTATGTGAACTAGACAAATATGCGGTTATGATTTGTTTGAAATTAGCATGCGGGATAGAGATCATGTCCGGGTAGGAATTAAAGCATGTTGGGTAGATATCATGTGGGCTAGGATCTTTCATTTACCTCACTAACCTTTTTTTTGTTCTCTTTTATTTTGTTTTCATCATTCACATCATTTAAAACGAAGTGTTGATCCACCAAAAACGTGTTTGTTAAACATGAATAATCTGCATTAATGGACAAATGGGTTATAATACAAAGAGATAAAAAGCTCAGAAGCCCAGTCGTAGTCAAATAATACTTAGAGGCAAAGGTTGCAGGGCAATACGGGGAAAATGTTATTGACCCGGAGAGTCCTTTCGAAAACTGCGAGAACAAGATGGTGAAACCCTAGCTAAGCTGGAGACCATTATTGATAAATTCAAGAAACAAGTCGATAAACTTCGGATGGAGGGTTCCGATGGCACTTTCGTTTGGAACAAGCTCGACATAGAGTGAAAGCCGGAGATGCAGTCATTCGAGACCTTTTTTTGGGACAAGCAGCTCGTCACCTGCACAAGTTTAGCCAAAGGAACCAGAATGGCTCGATAGGATATTCAACCGGGAAAAAGGCGGAAGACGAATCAACTTGTCAAAAGCTGTGCGGGATCTATACCATCAAAAAGTTTTCTGTCTCTTCAGTCGTAACACTTTTGTCACCAATAAGGGTTATTCAGAATAACATGCACATTTTTTTGATCAATACCTCAAACATTTCATGCATCATGCATAATGCATTTAGACATTTTGCATTTTGTTATTTTCTTTGCATTAACATTAACTAACATATACATGTCTCATCAAAAGGAGCAAATACTGGATACACCGCCTCAAGCGTTAGACACACCCTATCCGCATAACACCCGTTTGAAGAAGAAGATGATGAAAGCCAGAATTACACAAATCGAGGAGAATATGTTGAAACTACAGAAAGAGCTAGAAGACAAGATAAACCAGAGCAGTCGAAATACTCTGGAAACAATCACAAAGAACCAGAAGTCCTTGGTTGATCAGATCGTTGCCAAGTTGGTTGGCCTACAACAGACCAGTGGGCCTTGGGCAGGTTCATTGGAAGGGGTAACTATACAACCTACCCCGCAAGTGGTTATCTCACCTGAAATCTTACCAGAACTTCGAGGGGACTCATCTGCTACAAAAACGAAGCCCTCGTCCTCTATATTTAACCCTAAGAACAATCCGGGTTATTACCATGTACTGGATTTGGACGAAGAGGACAAAACGAAGAAGATGGAGGAAAAATCAAACAATTGGAGGACCAAATGAAGGTAGTTAAATGATACCATGACTACCATGGAATCGATGTTGCGGAACTCAGTATAGTCCCATACTTGGTTCTTCCTCCGAAATTTAAGTCCCCGGAATTCGAGAAGTTTGACGGGAACAGTTGTCTATCCGCTCACATCACCATGTTCTGCTGAAAGATGACAGGATATGGAAGAAACGACTAACTCCTGATCCACTGCTTCTAGGAGAGTCTGTCGGGCTCAGCCATTCGGTGGTACAATCAGTTAAGCCGATCAAATATCAAGACCTGGAAGGACCTGGCCAAGTCATTTCTGGAACAATACAAGTATATCAATGACATAAGGCCAGATCGAGTTATGCTACAAAGCATGGAAAAAAAGTATAACGAGAGTTTCAGGCAATGCACACAAAAATGGAGGGATTTGGTTGCGCAAGTTCATCCACCGTTGGATGAAAAGGAAACCCGAAAGCTCTTCGTACAGACCCTGAAGGCTCCATACTTCGGGCACCTGGTTGCGATCACGTCAAGAAGCTTTTCAGACTTGGTTATGGCCGGAGAAATGATTGAGTCGACCATAAAGCAAGGCAAAATTAAGGATGAGGAGGCCAGTAGGAAACCTCCTATGCAATAGCAGGATGGAGAGATTAACAACATCAGCCATGCCAGTAAAGGTATTACGATTTCCAAACTAAAATCAACTGCAGCTATACCGTCAGGTACTTCTAAACAAGATTCCAGAGAACCAATGAGGGAAAGGGAACATTTTGACCCTATTCCCATGACCTACAAAGAGCTTTACCATCAACTTCTTGACACCCATGTAGTGTCACCATACCTGGTGGAACCCATGAAGCCCCCATACCTCAAATGGTATGATGAGAATGCACATTGTGAATATCACGGTGGTGTCCCAGGGCACACAATTGAGAACTGTTACACATTCAAAAAAGTCGTACAGAAGATGCGTACTGGATCGACTTTAATAACTTGGGGACATCCAAGTGAGAAATATCATTTCATCATTTGAGGCATTCTGTTTGAACTTATTTTTTTTTCACTTTTTCTCAAGTTTTTGTAAGAACATTTGAATCAATTAATGTTACTTTAAAGATGTTAAGCAATGAATCACATTTGCAAATTTGCAATTCTTTGAATATTATTTGAATTAAGAAACTCTGTAAATGGTTCGAAGTTACAAAGTAACATGATTTAAAATAAGGACTTTGACCTTATCTAGAATATACCATCAAACACCGTACCCTGCTCTTGCAATTAACCAATATAACATTTTCCCTTAATAGGTACGGACAACATGGGGCATCATTTGCATATGACAATTACTATGATTTTCGTTTAAGACGTTCA